AGTAGCAGCAGCAGCAGTAGTAGCAGTAGTAGTAGCAGCAGCAGCAGTAGTAGCAGCAGCAGCAGCAGCAGCAGCAGTAGTAGTAGTAGCAGTAGTAGCAGCAGCAGTAGTAGTAGTAGCAGTAGTAGCAGTAGTAGTAGCAGTAGTAGCAGTAGTAGCAGTAGTAGTAGTAGTAGCAGTAGTAGTAGCAGTAGCAGTAGTAGTAGTAGTAGCAGTAGTAGTAGTAGTAGTTGCAGCAGCAGCAGCAGCAGATTTTTTCTTGTGTGGCAGTTACAGCCGGTAACGCCATCCCGACAGATAGCGTAGCGCCCGACCCTCTGATTCCCCCTCAGGTAAACACTGTTAGCTCCGTCAGCATGTTTGCCGTAGTCTGCGCTGTTAGCACCGTTAGCTACAAGCCGCGGGCGCGTCGCCATGTTGAGAGCCGTTGAGAGAATGATCTCACCCTGTAACGTACTTGTAATCTATCCGTCTGTGAATGATTTCTTCGGCAAACAGAATTACCATAATGATATATTCATTCATACAAATCACACATTTCAAATATTTGTTTCCTAATTTGGTGTCATACCAAAGCTTTTGTCACCTCTTCATTACTCAATATCAGGTTTTAGAGATCAGAAAAAGGAAAATAAAACATTTGAAAGGTTGATTGTGCAATTTTTTTTTGTGACAGCAAAGGAAATGAAGTCGATGTCAAATGTCAAACGTGAAATGAGCAGCTGATCTTGAGATTTACTGGTGATTGATTTCAGCTTTCATAAACTCAATTACAAAATCCATATGAGGCTACGAGAGGACGGATGTCATTATTAAACACTGAAGCCAGAGTGACGGGGAGTAACGTAGGACATATGGAGAGCAGATAATATGAAGGGTGTGTCCTGAGAGTATTGGAATGCGGCCGTGGCTTCCCTGAGGCCGTGTTGCTTCACATTCTTCTCCCGAAGCTGAAATCAGCTCCAGTCAAAGTCTCAATGACTGATTCCATTAATGACGAAATCGCATTAAAGATTTAGTGGCATGGAGTGTAAAACCGAGCAGATCCTCTTTCAAACTATATGAGAATCAGTTATTATTGATGCTAATCGATGAACCATATGAACAAAGAAAAGCCTGGACATTGTTTCATATTTTTGCCAATTCTGAGCTTTTTCTTTCAGTCACTGTTGTACGTCATATGATCCAGGGGAACCTGTCCTGTCTCTATGGTGCAGTGTGAAGTCACCCTCATGCATTACCTTTGTTTGAGCGTATCATATTTGACATAATAAAATGGCAGGTAAAAATAACTTGTGATTTGTTGAATAACTACATAGTTTCTAGGGACTTTTTTTTTTTTACGTGAAAAAGTTGTAGTTAGGCGTCTTTGAGCTCCATGTGAAGGTGGCTGCAAATACACATTTTCCTCAGTGAGTTAAAGACAATTATTGGATTGTATTATTTAGAAACATTGACGCTACGCTAGCCTTTTCACGGTCAATATTAGTCATGGTATTTCTCTATAATATTGTAAAATATTCTACATTCTCACTCTGACGTTCTAGAAAAGTTCAAAACAGCAAAGAAAAGAAAAGTCTAGATCAGAGAGCCCTCATACCGCAGATGGTTACGCAAGTTTGATAACAGAAAAGTTGTGAGTTCAAATCTGGTTTAGATTGTTCAATTATGTGTCTTTTTGTACAAAAAGCTTATTTTTCTATATTAGAGTCCAACCGAGAAGCAAGAACCGCCGTTGTTCTTTTGTGATCAAGAAGGTGCAACATGTTTCTACCCTTATTAACTATGGCAATGTATTTATGAACACAAATTAATCAAATCAACCCAACTATCAGGGACAAAATGTATTTTCTGCTGCTGTCAAACATTAATAACTTACAATACAAAAGATTATCAATGGTGTTAGACAATAAAAAAGTCAAAGGTACAAGAAGCCTGTGGACGTACAAACTGGAGGAGAGAAGTCGACTACGACTCCCAAGGTGCACTTCGGCAAGAAACAGCAGAGCTTCAAATTCAGCTGCGTAAGCAATGAGCTGCAGCTAAAGACAACATGACTGAACCTCCAATTTGCAGCTGAGACCACTTTAAAGAGTGCTGGGTCTGAGCTGACTGCTCAGAAGGTTCCAGTGGCTACTGGCTGAGCTCAGTTACATCCAGTTACTCCCATCAACAACACATCACTCCTGTTGGTGAATTGTAGCAGCTTGTGCAGTTCTTAACCCCCAGAGTCCCGCAATACCACACGAGAAACACCTCTAATTCCTGTTGACACGTTTCTGATCTGTTGTCTTTGCCAATGTAACACTTCCTGCCCCATGATTCGCCTCAGGAGAGAAGAAGACATCAGAAAGATTGCTGGTGCAGCAAGTTCTGACTCTGGAAGCTCTACAGGGAACTTTTTTCTGAACGGGCTGTGTGTACAAACCAACAGGTCCTCGTACCTGAACAACAGAAACAATAGTTTGCCACAGTGACTCCCAAAGCAACATTGACTCAATAGAGATAACATCTAATGAGAAAAGTTGATCAACAGAAGAATGCTTTCGTATACCGGCGCCTGAATTCTGTGTTTTCCGAAACATGAATTCCGACTTTCCCACTTTAAATTGATGCAGAAAAAAAATCAGCAGAATGCAGGACATGAGGTGTTTGTTTGATGGTGAAAAGTTACACTTAATGAGTGTCCCCACCATTGTTGAAACGAAACCTACGCCCTTGCTATTCGGCCTTTTTTTTGGTAGTGATGATTTGGTTGGAACTGTAACATATGTCACCGATGTAATGGCCACATTTATCATCACAACAGTGTGTCAGAGCTGAAGAAATGTCTGGCTCCACACTAGGTTGTATAGAAGTCTATGAGAAAATGACTCTACTTCTCTCTTGATTTATTACCTCAGTAAACATTGTAAACATGAGTTTATGGTCTCAATCTCTAGTTCCAAGTCTTCTTCAATACAGCATGATGTTCATTCAGTACATTATGGTCCATTTAGAGTCAAACAGACCATAAAGCAGGGGATGCTTTAGGGCGGGGCTACACGATGATTGACAGGTCGCTGCAGAGACGTATCCGGCGTCACTACGTCACTTCTCATTATTCCACACATGGTCACTTCCGTTCATCGGTTGCAAAATAGGCAAGATGGCGACGGCAAAATCCTGCCACTTTTCACAGGATGCTTTCATAAAGTGCAGCTGCAGAGGAGACGAATAACGAGCCTCTGCAACAGTTACGACAACAAGACAGGTCATTCTTTCATTTAGATCTTTTTAGGCATTTGGCTGATCGTCTCACCCAGAGTGACTTATATAGAGTGAGCAAGTCAAGCGCTCAAGGACACTCGCTGAGCCAAAACCATTTGATAAAACGATACAATTGTTCCTCTCAAAGCTCAGACAAAATGTTTCTCCTTTGATTCCATAAGAAAATGCTGTAAGTGCAAATTTGTTAACGCATTACTCGGTAATTGAATTGTGGGATTGAATTTCACTGAGACGCCGAAATGAGCTATCAGAGGAAATATAATGAGCTCCTCACTTGAACAGTCACTGCTGCCAGTTGCTCACAAAGCTGGTAAGCTGCCCCAGCAATTACAGGGAAATGACAGGTCACATGTTTTGATGAGTCATCATATTTCACACATATTTGTCAGAGTGTCCTTGAAGGATTCACCTACCTGGCTGCTCGCCGCACCGGATACGAGCTTGTTCCTTCGCTGTCCAGATGGAGGAGTTGCTTTTAGCTGCACAA